GCAAGACACCAAACGCTGGTAAGATCTCGATCCAAATGGACCCTCTCCGACATATCTTATGTCAACCACCCCAACGCCGCCGCCGCTGCAGATCCCCGCGGAGCCATGTCTCTCTTCTCTCCTCCTTTCTCTAAATCTGTCTTTTCCTCTCCAGGCCTCTCTCTCGCCATCGTAAGCCTCTCTCTTCTTCCCCCTCTCGTAGATATCTGTATTCATTCGCCAGATTAAAAGCCTTTATATGCGTGTTCGTTTTGGTAGGTGCAACCGGAGAGAGAGAACCGTGGGGAAGCGTCCATGAGAGCAAGCGGCGATAATCTGGAAGGGAGTGCCAACCGGAGAAGCCGAGAAGAAGAGCATGAGAGCAGATCTGGGAGCGATAACGTCGAAGGAATCTCCGGCGACGATCAAGACGCCGCCGATAAGCCGCCCAGGAAGAAGCGATACCACCGACACACTCCTCAGCAAATCCAGGAGCTCGAAGCGTATGCTCTAACCCCCTTTGTTTTCTTTTCCTCTCGGATTTCATCTGATGAGTGTTTGTTCGTTCGTTTCGGGTTTCAGCATGTTCAAAGAATGTCCCCATCCCGACGAGAAACAGCGGTTGGAGTTGAGCAAGAGACTTTGCTTGGAGACAAGACAAGTCAAGTTCTGGTTCCAGAACCGCCGCACTCAGATGAAGGTTGTTCACCATGATTTCTGGTTCTTTTCCTCAAGTCTTAAAACTTTCCCATGAAAACCTAATATCTCTTCGGTGTCACAGACGCAGCTGGAGCGGCATGAGAACGCGTTGCTCCGACAAGAAAACGATAAGCTAAGAGCAGAGAACATGTCGATACGCGAAGCCATGCGTAACCCAATCTGCAGCAGCTGCGGAGGACCCGCCATGCTCGGCGACGTTTCCCTCGAAGAGCAACACCTCAGAATCGAGAACGCACGTCTCAAGGACGAGCTCGACCGAGTCTGCGCCCTCGCCGGCAAATTCCTCGGACGCTCCATTTCTGGCGATCCACCTCTCCCCAACTCCTCGCTCGAGCTCGGTGTCGGCACCACAGCCTCCGCCAACGCCGGCGGCTTCGGATTTCCGCCGGATTTTGGGATATCGAGCACCGCTGTCAGATGTTTGCCAACGATACCTCCGCAGCCATTGGTTTCTGGGGTTACCGGGATCGATCAGAGGTCTGTTCTGTTGGAGCTGGCTCTGACCGCCATGGATGAGCTTGTGAAGCTGGCTCAGACGGATGAGCCGTTGTGGGTAAAAGGCTTGGACGACGAGAGAGAGATTCTTAACCAAGAGGAGTACGTCAGAAGTTTCCCGCCCACCGTCGGTCTGAAGCCGGCCGGCTTTGTGACTGAAGCCTCTAGAACCACCGGTATGGTCATCATCAACAGTCTGGCCCTCGTCGAGACCTTGATGGACTCTGTAAGTTTTCATCACTTCTTCAATCCACTAAAAAAGTAACGCTTTTTCTCATTTTCCTTTTCTGCAAATAATCTCGTCACAGTTATGGGTTAGATTTCCGATGCATAAGCGTCTGACATTAAAAGGAAGATAAACTTTCAGTGACTTTGTGATACGACGTGTATTTTCTTTTCTGGTATGTTGTAACAGAACCGGTGGACGGAGATGTTCCCATGCATCATATCAAGAGCCTCGACCACCGATGTGATCTCCGGCGGAATGGCCGGAACAAGAAACGGTGCAATTCAGCTGGTAAAAGCTCCAATCTTTCCGTGGCGTGGGGTCGTCTTTTATCAAATAACTACAAAAGATTCGATTTTTTTTGTTATCCGTTGTTGAACGAAATCAGGATTTGTCATATCGGCAGATGCACGCGGAGCTTCAAGTGTTGTCTCCATTGGTTCCGGTACGCGAGGCGAATTTCCTCCGGTTCTGCAAGCAGCACGCGGAGGGCGTGTGGGCGGTGGTTGACGTCTCTGTCGACGGAGTCCGTGAAAATTCGGGCTGTTTGCCGGCGATGTCTCTCCGGCGGCTTCCTTCCGGCTGCGTGGTTCAGGATATGCCCAACGGATACTCCAAGGTGCGTGTTATCGAATTAAATATTGAACGAGAAATCCTCATGGAATCTAACCCGAGTCTTGAAAAATGCAAGTTTTGTTTTTGGGCATGCCGATATATACATAATTATTATTTATGAGCTTGAGGGTGATCACTGGAGAAGCTCAAGCAACTATGAGTCTTGCTTTTTATCCATTTCTCGATGCACCCACTTCATTGTCTGCTCCCAAAGTTTTCAATTTTCATCTGTTTCGCAAAATACTATTATTACATGGTTCTCCCAAAATATGGTTTTTCTCCTCGATTTGTTCACCCCGAAGCTTCCGAGATTGCTCAAATTTCATGGATCCGGATGCTTCTCTTGTCGGATTCTGTGGATTAGATTTTAAGTTTTCGACAACTGGGTCTGTCTGAATTCATTTTTATATTGCGATATCGACGCCCTCTTTCCCCCCCCTATTTGCATGTTCCTATGAGCATCGGTCCAAAAGTTTTTAAGCACCTTGGAAGAACACGTTAATTTTGTATCCTTTTTTTTTTTTGCATATAACGATCTTCTAATCATCGGGTTGAATAAACAAAACCTTTCAGCTGTTTCTATTCCGAGTTTTCATGGCGCCTCGTATTTCCCAATGCCCTTTTTTAGTTTGGCATCTTCACGTCTCTAACCACACAGTTGCGAGACATTTTATATAATACAATATCTTGTAACACGAACATTTTTCACCTTGTTGCATGATGAAGTACAATACCGCCAATTAATAATCATTTTTCTTTCATTGATTTATTCCCCTTACATTCATTCATTTAATATGTTTTTTTTTGTATGAATTATTGCACAACTATCATATAGTAGGGTCTTGTAATAATAACGGGTGAGAAGGACGCCGACTGGATTGAATTTTCCATGCCTGCAGTGTTTATTGCACTGGTACTGGGGTTGAGTAGTTTGACTGATTTGACCGGTCGGTTCGATCCAGTCGGACCGGGTAATGTGTACTATGATTGAGACGTGATAAACCAGCGGTGGTGCAGGTGACGTGGGTGGAGCATGCAGAGTACGAGGAGAACCAAGTCCACCAGCTATACCGGCCGATGCTGAGGTCTGGCCTCGGCTTTGGTGCTCAGCGTTGGGTCGCCACGCTGCAGCGTCAATGCGAGTGTCTCGCCATCCTCATGTCCTCCTCTGTCAACCCTCCTGACAACGGCGGTCCGTTTTTTTTTCAAGTTCCCCTTTAAGATGGTATGCCCGATTGAATAAATACATTAACAATATGAGTCGTGACATCATCAGCCATAACGGCAGGCGGGCGGAAGAGCATGCTGAAGCTGGCACAGAGGATGACTTACAACTTCTGCTCGGGCATATCGGCGCCGTCCGTGCAGAGCTGGAGCAAGCTGACGGTGGGACACGTGGGCCCTGACGTGAGGGTAATGACGAGGAAGAGCGTGGACGACCCTGGTGAGCCGCCTGGGATAGTGCTGAGCGCCGCCACGTCGGTGTGGGTGCCTGGGTCGCCGCAGCGGCTCTTTGACTTCCTAAGGGACGAACGCCATCACCAGCCATAACGGCAGGCGGGCGGAAGAGCATGCTGAAGCTGGCACAGAGGATGACTTACAACTTCTGCTCGGGCATATCGGCGCCGTCCGTGCAGAGCTGGAGCAAGCTGACGGTGGGACACGTGGGCCCTGACGTGAGGGTAATGACGAGAAAGAGCGTGGACGACCCTGGTGAGCCGCCTGGGATAGTGCTGAGCGCCGCCACGTCGGTGTGGGTGCCTGGGTCGCCGCAGCGGCTCTTTGACTTCCTAAGGGACGAACGGCTCAGATGCGAGTGGGATATTCTATCCAACGGTGGCCCCATGCAGGAGATGGCTCACATCGCCAAAGGCCAAGATGAGGGCAACTCCGTCTGTCTCCTCCGCTCTAATGTGAGTCTCTCTATTATAATAATAATAATTAGAAACAACAAGTGCGGTGAACCGTTTTCGGTAAAATGGGTGGGGACTAGGAGACAACGACGTTTTCTCTTGTCAGGGTTTGTCAACAGTGGATTGGGAAAGGACAAGCTTTGAATCTGGTTATTTTTATTGAAAAAAAAAAAAAAGTCAAAATAACAGGCCAGTTTCAACCTTTTTTAAAAACCCAGGTGGAAAAGTTATTTCCCTTTATACCGTGCTGACACGGCCACAGCAAGTGTGGCAGATTCTCGTAAATATCATGGGGGTAATTCCATTCCCCGAATTGTTGGCAGGCCATGAACGCAAGCCAGAGCAGTATGCTCATACTGCAGGAGACGCGCATAGACGCATCCGGAGCGCTTGTCGTGTACGCGCCTGTTGACATACCCGCCATGCACGTCGTCATGAACGGTGGAGATTCTTCCTACGTGGCTCTCCTCCCCTCTGGCTTCGCCATCCTCCCCGACGGAGGTGGTCCCTCCTCCCCCCACGGCGGTGGGGGCTCGCCCCGT